TACATGCTGGTTTCTGACATTATTTCTCCCTCAACCAGCCCTTGGGGTGCACCCATAGTGTTGGTTAAAAAGCAAGATGGGTCCCTAAGGTTCTGCGTTGATTCTCGGCGTTTGAATAAAATCTCTGTGGCTGATGCTTACCCGCTTCCTCGAATGGACGAATCTCTGGATGCCCTGGCTGGATCACGATTCTTCTCCACCTTGGATTTGCTGTCAGGGTTTTGGCAACTTCCTTTGGATGACGAATCGAAGCCCAAAACGGCTTTTCGAACGCCGCACAGCCTCTTCCAATTCAATCGTTTGCCTATGGGGCTCCACTCAGCTCCCGCAACGTTCCAGCGCCTAATGGAATTGGTTCTCGCTGGCTTGCAATGGGAGGTCTGTTTGATTTACCTGGACGACGTGATCGTATTTAGTAGGACATTGGAGGAACATCTTGATAGGCTTCGGGCCGTCTTTCTCAAAATGTGCACAGCTAATTTGAAATTTAAACCGCAAAAGTGCCATTTGCTCCACGAATCTGTGAGATATTTGGGTCACATCTTCGGACGGTCAGGTATCTCAACCGATCCCGCCAAAACGCGTTGTGTCAGCTCCTGGCCGACTCCCACCTCGGTGGGGGAGGTTAGGAGCTTCATCGGTTTTGCTTCATATTACCGGCGGTTTGTCGCGGAGTTCGCTTCCATCGCTAAGCTGTTACATGCCTTAACGGCGAAGGGGGTGAAATTTCATTGGGGGCCGGAAGAGGAGGCCGCATTTAACTCTCTTCGTGATGCCTTGGTGGGGGCCCCACCGTTGAGTTACCCCGATTTTTCACTACCTTTCGTGCTCGACACTGACGCGAGCAACACAGGGATTGGGGGCGTGCTTTCCCAAGTTGTTGGTGGCGTGGAGCACGTTGTGTCTTACGGTAGTAGAGTATTGTCTCCTGCCGAGCAAAGATACTGCGTCACCCGCCGTGAACTGTTGGCTATTGTTTTCTTTATTCAACAGTACCGGCCATATCTGTACGGCCGGCATTTCACCGTCCGTACAGATCATGCGGCATTGCAGTATGCCCTGCGTATTCACCAGCCATCGGGGCAGTTATCCCGATGGCTGGAGATCATTCAGGATTTCGATTTCGAAACAACATATCGCAAGGGGATTCGCCACACTAATGCCGATGCCCTGTCGCGCCTGCCGGCCACTTCGGATTGCACTTGTTTCTTGGGCTCGGGGCGTTGCAAATCGGCGAGCGACGGCCAGGATCAGGTCCTTGCGGCCGCCGTTGAGGCTCCTTCGGGCGTTGGCCCTATTGATATGGGAGGGAAGGATTCCCTACTGGGCTTGTCAGGTGCGGAATGGGGGCACCTCCAATTGGAGGATACTTCCCTCCTGGTGCTACGGCGTCGTGCGGAAGGATCCGGTCAGGGGAAGTCGGGCGTTGACTCATGGAGGTTGTGCCAGGGCATCCTCATGCGTTGGGACGGGACGATCCGCCGCCACAGGCTGGTAGTGCTTTCCACGTTGAGGTGTAGGGCTGTATGGGCTGCTCATGAGCGGCCCCTGCACCTGGGCACCCACAAAACCCTTGCCATGCTCCAGCTTAATTTCTTTTGGCCGGGCATGGCAAGGGATGTGGACGATCTCTTGCAGTCTTGTACCCAGTGTGCTCAACGGAAGCCGCCAGCAAGGGGAGCCAGCCCACCGTTCCAGTCTATTTCGGTCTCCCGGGTTAATGAGCTGGTCGCTCTTGATATTTGGGGGCCGTTTCCCTCTACGCCTAGGGGTAATAAGTACCTACTGGTTGGCGTGGAATATTTCACGCGATGGCCTATGGCTTGGCCCCTCGCCAACCAGTCGGCAGCAGCCGTTGCGGAGGCTTTTGTCCAGGGCTATGTCCTCGACAAGGGCGCTCCGGAACGGTTGTTGACCGATCAGGGAAAGAACTTCACTAGTTCCCTTTTACACGAGGTGTGTGAGCTTCTCGGTACGAAGAAAATTCGTACTTCCCCTTACCACCCACAAACGGATGGGATGGTAGAACGCCTGCATAGGACTATTACGTCCATGCTATCACACCAGGTATCTGAGTCCCAAACTGATTGGGACCTTCAGATCCCGGGAGTTCTGGCAGCTTACAGGATGGCTCCTCACACGGCGACCGGATTCTCGCCATTTTTTTTAATGTATGGCCACGAAGTTGACCCGCCTGTCGCAGCCCAGCACGCTAAGTCCAAATTGGCTGACCATGTTAAATTTAATATCCTCAAGTTGGCTGAGGTGCGGGAGGCGGCTATTCAAAACTCTGACTCTCGCCAGAAGGCGAATGAAAGGTTGCGATTACGCCGGTCACACACGGACGAATGGCACCCGGGCGACAGAGCGTGGCTACACTGTCCCCAGGTGCCATTGGCTACCTCGTATAAACTGTTGCGACCATGGAGAGGCCCCATGGAAATTGTGCAGGTTGTGCGACCCCAATGTGTTCGCATTAAATGGGGGAAGCGTCGGTGGTTCGTCCACCCTTCACGGTTGAAGCCGTTCTTTGCGCCACATGCTTTCTCTCACAACTATGGCCGAACATGTGGGGGGTCCACTGACTCCTGGAGGGTGGGTTCACCACCAGCCTCTGATCCGCTGCTAACTGTTCCGCCTTCAGGGGTCCAAGGATTAATGCCCTCTCGGCCGCCAGCCTCTCCCGAGGGGGTCGGCGCAGACTCGTCCAGGAAGCCGGAGGGCCGTGCGCCTGAACTGTCAACACCCGCCGCCAGCCCGACCGGGTCGGGCCCTTGTGACGGGCCCGCTGCACGGACACGCGCCAAAACGCGCTGGTTGTCATGAATTGCTTCCCGCGCGTGTTCCGCTGCCGTGGGGCTCGCTCACCGTTTTTTTTTTGGGGGGAGTGAATCACACTCTGTACATATGTTGCATGTTGGGGCTGGGGTATTTATAGGGGACCGTCGGTTGTTTGTTACTCTTGTTATTGTTACGGGGCACACGCATGTTGACTGTGTTAAGTCTTTATTGTTGGTTTTTGAGGGGTTTTGTTGCAGCCGGGACGGCTGCGGGCTGTATAGGGGCGGTGATGTAGGGGTTATTACGGGGAGAAGGGCGGACAGAAAACACAGGGTGTCTGCACCCACACACGGGTGTCTACATCCACGTCCGCATCCGTTAACCACTGGGGGGCCATGGGGGCTCTGTGATCCCCCATAACTCCGCCCCTCGAAGGGAATTCCTATAAAAGGCGGGGAGCCAGAGAGCTCAGGGCCAGTGTGGAAGAAGCAGTGAAGTCTGAAGACCGGCAGAATAGGCCCTGGGACTCCCCTGTCTCGCTGCCCTTGTCAGGGCCGAGCTGGGCAAGCCAGTGGCGCGGCCCCAAGAGCTTCCGGACATCTGCTCTTGTAAGAGCAAGGCCGGGTTAGCTGGGTGCCGGGATGTGCTTTACCAGGGCCGGATCAGACAGCCTCCCATAGCACTATTAGAGGACTGGGAACAGGACAGGGGAAATAGTGCTAGGGGTATTTTCCCATTTAGTACGGGTGAAGGGGCCGTTACCCCTTCAAGTATTGTACTGCCCTTGAGGTTAATAAAAGAGTGTGCCTCGACTCCGTCGTCAGTCTCCCTGGAACCCACTACATATACACTGTGCGTGTACAGACTATTTGTATACTGTGTGGGTAAACTGTGTACGCTGTGTACATGGTGTGTGTAGACCTTGTGGGTACACTGCGTGTGTACAGTTTGTGGGTTGTCTGGATCAGTCGGGCGGCAACATCTTTTCATCGGCTGCGCTATGCTGTGTGGAAGCTACCTGGTCTGTCGCTCCGCATGAAGCTTCGGTTCTTCTCGGCCAGTTTTGCCCTCCCTTCTGTAGGCATGTGAAACGTGGACCCCTCTAAATGGAACATCTGCGCCAGTTAGAAACATTCAGGCTATCATGCCTACACTCAGATTGAGGGAAGCCAAGTGGTAGCACATTCTATATTTATTGCAGAGGTTCAAGGTTCAAATCCGACAGGCACGTCTGGCTACTCCAGTAACATTAAACAAAATATGCACCGTCTGCTTAACAGTGGATGTAAAACATACGATTGTGTCATTCAAAACGCATAGGTCATTGCATGTTGGTGTCATGGTCAATATTTGGGCAATTTCAAACATTATCCAGAAATTACATAATAAAGATTACACATCAATCATCACCCCTTACTGACAGACTCATGCCCACATGCAGTTGACAGCAGTGTCACCTTATGACAAAAAGGCAGCTGCCACTTGAAGGTGCTCTTCGAGTGTTTGTGATGAGACATGAAACTGAGTTGCTGAGGCAATTAAGCAAGCACCATATCAATGCAAATATAAATATAACAGTGGAATACTTGGAAGCTTATTGGGTCTTGCTCCTGATTATTCATCTACCCAACCACAGGTCAACAAATACTCGCCGCTCTTACTCTGCAGGTTGAACCCAGGAATTCAGTGTTCAAATTCACGTTCTTTTCATTAAAGGCCTGTGACAAAGGTGCATCTATTGGAGCTTCATTGTCTCAAGCCTACCCATCTACCGGGTCTCCATTTGACTTTGTATTGTCTAAGAAGTCCACCCACACCTCCACTTCCACAAACTGCTGGGAGTTGCCTAGCTCTGCCTCGAAGTCAGAATTCTCCTCCTGCTTCACGTTGCCTCCATCGATGTGAAGGTACGATTTTGGAGTTGAATCTTCATCTTCACAGTTTACCGTCACTTTTTCGCTTTTCACCATCACTTTCTCACATTTCACCTTTACTTCTTCGCTCTTCATCATTTCTTCACATTTCACCTTCGCCTCTTCACATTTCACCTTGATACCTTTAAAAGTGTCCAAGCTGGGATTCACTTCTGGTTTCATGAGGGATGGGCTCACTGCAGCACTTTGACTTTCACAAGCCGATTTCAGACTCCATTTCTTGGGGATCTTCTGATGCTTGTGTGTCCTCTGGTGATGTTTAAGAAATGATGACCGTGCAAACGCCTTCCCACACAGAGTGCAACTGAAGGGTTTCTCTCCCGTGTGTGTTCTCTGGTGTAATTGAAGATGTTGTGAATGTGCAAACGCCTTACCACACACAGTGCACTTGAAGGGTTTCTCTCCCGTGTGTGTTCTCTGGTGTAATTTAAGATATGGTGATTGTGCAAACGCCTTCCCACACAGAGTGCAACTGAAGGGTTTCTCTCCCGTGTGTGTTCTCTGGTGTGCTTGAAGATGTGATGATTGTGCAAACGCCCTCCCACACAAAGTGCAACTGAAGGGTTTCTCTCCCGTGTGAGTTCTCTGGTGTATTTTAAGATGTTGTGAATGTGCAAACGCCTTCTCACACAGAGTGCAACTGAAGGGTTTTTCTCCTGTGTGTATTATCCAGTGTTTTTTAAGAGTAGATTTATGTGAAAATGCCTTCCCACACACACTGCACTTGAAGGGTTTATCTCCCGTGTGTGTTCTCTGGTGTGATACAAGACCAGATGACTGTGAAAACGCCTTCCCGCACAGACTGCACTTGAAGGGTTTCTCTCCTGCGTGAGTTCTCTGGTGCTGTATCAGATGTTTAACATGATCCGTGCTGTATGCACACTGGTTGCATTGTTGCCTTTTTGCACCGAGCTGTGCTGAGTGCCTTTGCTCCATCAGACCAATTCTGCAGAGGAAGTGCCAGAGGAAGCATCAGCTGCAGACAGAAAAAAATTAATATCCAGACCATCTACGTCAGTATAGAGGCACAAAAGAATGCATATATACACAGTCACACATGACTTGCACGTCTATACTCATTCATATATTCATGATAAGAGTGAAAAAGATTCCCAAATTTATCACATGGGCACACAATGAGAGGGCAAATGGTCAGCCTGGAAGCCCTAGTATCTTAAAAATGACTGTTAACCTAAAACTCCAAGCACACAATTTCAGTTGTCTGGCTACAAAAGGAATATTTATGAAAGCAAAATGCAGCTAACATCATAAAGGGTGTTGAAAATAATACTATTTGTATTATGCAGAAATTCATAAATTAATGTTCAATCACAACTTAAAGGTGTGAAGCCAGGCTCAGATTTCCTTGAATGCTGGGATGAACAGATCTAATTTCAGCTGCATATGTGCTGTGTTAATTTCCTGTTTCCATTCTCGTAAAAAGTTCCAAAGGAAAACTAAAATAAACAATTGTTTTGATTTAACCTCTGTGTTCAATCGAGTTAATCTACTTCACAGCAAATACAAACTTGACACTGTAACACACAATGACATGGTAAAAAGGTGGTGTGTTCAGAACCATGCCTGGCCACCTTCATATGCTCCGTAATAATGCTTCCCCACAATAAGTGAAGTTTTCACCAATCAATCACGTTTGCTGTCGGCGATAATCAAACTTTAATTGTGATAACACTATGTAACACAATTTTTGTTCCTGGGTACTAATTGTTATTTTTTTATTGCTTATGCCAAAATGTCTAGAAAATGGCTTATTCCCCACAAACATTGCTTTTGTGACCAGAATTATACAAGAACTAAAAAAACTAATTCACCTATTTTCTCATTGAAAAGAGATACATTTCTAAATATCACTGTCCTGGTCACAAAAGCAAAGTTTGTGGGGAATAATATCAATTTTTTGTACTTTAGAGGCAAAAGCAATTAGGAAATAACACATACTACCCAGGAACAAATGTTTTTTTTGTTACACAGTAGAAAAACTGCGCCACCGCTCCCCACATAAACTCTTACATACACATATATTTCACATGAATGCCATGTAAGTGTGGATCACTTGTCAGCAGGTCATGGGAATGATCCAGGTGTCAAGGGTTGACTGAAATGATTAACAGATGCACCAGCTGTGCATCCTGCTGTCTTGCTGCATTTGAGGCACCCAGCATTCCACCCATTCATGTGAGCATTGCTACTCCAACCTCATTGTTGTTGCAGAGCGAATACCTCCAACTGCCCTGCAGCATACGTCACGGGCCTCTTCGAGAGGCTGATCTTGACAACAGGTCTGATCAACTCCACATCCACCAATCTCTTCTCTAGCCAATGCCATGCCCGTTTAGCCCGTAACATCTGGACTAACAGAAGATGATTGTGCATGCTGTCTGTTTATGCGGAATTCATGACCCAACCAATGCAGCCTCGCCTGCCAAAGTCTCAGATGATATTTTGTACTGATATTTTAGGGCTCTGTAAGGTTATAATACAATCTTGTTTGGTTCAATAAAGGGGATCATAGGGAGGCCAGCCTTAATAAAAAGCCAGAACATACAGTCCTTAAAATAAGTTCATATTGTGCATCCACAGAGAAAGGAGTAATATCTGTGGCCAAGAAGACTGACAGCTTTATTCGTTCATTTATTTCTAAATCCTCTTGTCTTGGTGAGGTTTGTGGTGGCAGCACATTCAGTAGGGCAGTCCAGACCTCCCTTTCCCTGGCGACAGACGAGCTCTTCCTGGGGAATTCCCAAGCGTTCCCAAAGCCAGCCAAGCGACGTATTCCCACCAGAATGTCCTGGGCCAGGCCCCTGGGACGTCCCCCAGTGGGACGTGCCTGGTAGAGTTCCAGGGACAGTCTATTAGAGGGCATCCTTACAGATATTATATATTGATATCACTCATGGAACGATGCCTGGTGGCTAGGTGACCCACGTAACCCATTTGGGCTCAACCTGGAAAGGCTGCGTGGCACCGTCCTGTGCACCCACCATCCACAGGACGAAGGGTGAGAGGCGGGTGCGATGCCAACATGACAGGGAAAGGGGATGGTCTCAGATAGACTAGACCTGGGCGATGGACACTCACAGCTTTGTATGGAGCAAAAGTCCAGGCAGCTTTCACAGTGTTACACAGTCTAATGAAAGAATGCTGCTAGACAAATTTAAAGTGAGACTTTGGCTGTCAAACCAGAGCTGGTCGTGAACACATTAACCATGCATGGGAGCTCCTCCACCACTTGCAGAACTGCCTGATTACTCATGGAGAGTTGAGCAGGTACAGTGTTGTATGAAATCAAATTCCCAGGCAGGTGATTTATTTTTGTGGAACATACGAAAGGCCCCATTTCATGATGGAATTATCCAAGCACAAAACAAGATTCTCTAACCCCATTTCATTGAGTAGCCATGACCAGATCATCAGCAGATATAACATGGTTGACCAGGGAACGATCCCTTAACTATAACCAGGCATCGATGCGCGTATCATTTTAACCGTAACAAATGCTATTTATTTCTATGGCCATTGAGAGCTTCTCAAACGACAATTATTGAAGATGCTCTGTAATGTAATGAATGGGGCCAGAGTGAATTTCTGTCACAAGCCAAGTTGAACAGGAAATGGCTCCGATTCCTGGTCACGCAGCTTTAGACGGGCTTTCCCAAAATCATAAAAATCATCAAAGAATGTGAGCAGAGGCAGACATAAAAAAACAAAGAACCCAAAGCCCCAATACTCTATATGGTACTATTTGCCTTAATTACATCAATAAAGCAGAGATCTAGTTTCTGCTGAAAATCCGTAATCCTCAGCCCCTTGAATATCAGAGACTACGATCTGGGAAAGTGCCTCGCAAAGCCAAAAGTGCAATATTCAAAAATTAAGCTTTAAGTAAATAATGGCCTGAGGTAAAAAGAAAATAAATAATAAATTACGCAATTGAAATAAACATTGAGAAACCATATACAAAAACATTTGCAAGACAAAATATGGGAAAAATCTACATAAAGCAAACTTTGTGCATGTGAACGTTTTTTTGTGAACCAAATTGTGCCATCACCACCAGATGGCAAAACATCAAATATTGTCTATCCTGAAGCTCTCCAAGGGCAACGTATTTAAAAGTTGTCCTCATTATTATGAAACAAATAAGCCCTGCTATTGTATAACACAACCACAAAACCGTGACAATATACACACATCTACAGACATCATTGGCAGAATTCAATTGTAATGAAACCCAGCATGGCAAGACATTACTCTTAATGTTTGATTACCGAGACCTGAGCTAAGCCGGGAAACTTAAGTTATTACTGGATACTATACTTCCGATAAAGTTTGTGCGTGAGTGGGGAGCGGTAGTGCAACGGTTAGCGTGCTGCGCTATTAACCCAACGAGCCGATTTCTATTTCCACAGAGCCAAGCCACAACATTTGGCTGTCGTCTGATGAAGATGGTTGGAATTAGTGTCAAAACGTTGTACTCAGATTGTAAATGTTGTGGCTTGGCTCTCCAACACACCGATGAGATGTACTAGTACACTACACTATACACTACTATACACTACATTATACACAACTATACACTACACTAAACTATACACTACACTATACACTACACTACACACTAGTTCTGTACTAGTGATGCATTGGCCACGTTCTGTTTACCTGACAAACCTCTTACTAATTGGCTGTGTCGGGTGGTGGCGGGGCTAACGGCACATTGATTTATTTACGCGATCTCACACAAACAAATCTGTATTATGGCTGTATATTTGGAGTTTGCGTGTCCCTCTCTCTCCGTGGTCGCGTGGATTCTCCTCTGGATCCTGCGGTTTTCCCTGCACATTTAGAGTCAACATCACCACGCGTTTAGAGTATTTGACCGATAAACATTTCCACACGTTAAATTTCGATTTAAAGCTTTCGTGACTGCAGGGATTCATCTTCTTGGTTCTTTCGGTAAAGTCACGTAGAAGGGAAGTAATAAACTAATCAAAATAAAACATAATAAAAAAATTCTCACGACGTTTCGGCCACAACGCAAGCAGCCGTCCTCAGGTGAAAACCAGGTGTCGACAGACCTGGTTTTCACCTGAGGACGGCTGCTTGCGTTGTGGCCGAAACGTCGTGAGAATTATTTTATTATGTTTTATTTTTATTATTGTATTACTTCCCTTCTACGTGACTTTACCGAAAGAACCAAGACGATTTCCACACGTTGATAAGCCCCCCACTGTGTTGTGGGCAGGTCACTTCTGAAAACGAGCGGTGTAGCTCAAGTGGCCTATGCCTGGTAAAATAAAAAAAACGTAGAAATATTTCAAGTAAAACAAAGTTTCAAAGTAGTGAGCCAGGTGAAGACAAATTAAACTTAAGCAGAGAATTAAAGCAAATGCAATCGGGCGAGGGCAGGAGGCAAGGCCCCGCATGGCTAGGCCCCGCGTTGTAATGTTCCAACCTGGACATCGATTCCATACTCGCTGCTACTCAATTGATATCCCTACGAGGGAGAAGGAGCGAGGCTCTACCTGGGCTTACAACAACAACCACCACAACAACCACCACGATGTAAACTTCTCACCTCGGATCTCAGTGAGCGAGCGTGCGCGAAGCAGCAGAGACCTGGTTACTCGTGACGTCATGAGGCAGGTGACGTGACGTCACTTGCGGGGTTCACACAATCCCCTCCCCCAACGAACAGCAGGGTAACTGAATATATTATACACTATGGGGACCTCATTTGCCAGTAAAAATATGATAATTGGTTCTTTACCCTTCTATCTGGCAACAAAACTGACACCTTTTTACAAGGAGTCATGTTTGCATAGACCACAATACCTGCAGTCATAAATACAAACAAAAGACATAACTCTGATAATGTGCACTGTCCTTGAAGTTGATTGGTCCACACCCGAGACAGCTTTCCTTCGAGCCTAGTCTCACATGGGTTGGACCAGAAGACGCCAAAAGGCGCACAACTCAAAGACAATGCACCATCAGAGTATGAGAGCTCGGGGCAAACATCTACACTATGGGGACCTCATTTGCCAGTAAAAATATGATAATTGGTTCTTTACCCTTCTATCTGGCAACAAAACTGACACCTTTTTACAAGGAGTCATGTTTGCATAGACCACAACACCTGCAGTCATAAATACAAACAAAAGACATAACTCTGATAATGTGCACTGTCCTTGAAGTTGATTGGTCCACACCCGAGACAGCTTTCCTTCGAGCCTAGTCTCACATGGGTTGGACCAGAAGACGCCAAAAGGCGCACAACTCAAAGACAGTGCACATTATCAGAGTTATGTCTTTTGTTTGTATTTATGACTGCAGGTATTGTGGTCTATGCAAACATGACTCCTTGTAAAAAGGTGTCAGTTTTGTTGCCAGATAGAAGGGTAAAGAACCAATTATGAATATATTATGTTAATGAGAGGGGCCCATGTCAGGTGATGGTGCTTGGCTGCTGACCCCATCCCAAATAAGCATTGTACTGGAACGGAAATCAGCAGACGTGACGTCACGCTCAAAATCAAGCTGGAGGGGGTAAATACCTCGGTGACATGACGTCACTAGTGGGGGACACCTCCCCCTCACATATAATGCCGAGTTAATGAGGGGTGACGTCAGAGAGCGAGATCAGGGTTAGAGTTCAAGTTTATTTAGATTCCATTTCTGTGGCTCCCTCTCTTGAACAGAAACCCATTGGGTGCGTGAGCTCAACAACAACGTGAACATTGTGTGTGGACACTGTTGGCGCAGTCGGGGGCACAGGTGGTGCATTGGCCAGTCATTTAAGTCAGTCGACCCATGACACCTGGATCTGCCCCGTGCACATAGCCTGGCACAAGCGCCGTGGTGACGTCACCGCCACTTAGTGGCGAATGGCGGTTGTTGTTACTGTGTGTGTATACACTGCGTGTACAGACTGTATACTGTGTGGGTAAACTGTGTGTACGCTGTGTACATGGTGTGTGTAGACCTTGTGGGTACACTGCGTGTGTACAGTGGGTGGTCCGAATCAGTCGGGCGGCATTATCTTTTCATCGGCTGCGCTATGCTGTGTGGAAGCTACCTGATCTGTCGCTCCGCATGAAGCTTCGGTTCTTCTCGGCCAGTTTTGCCCTCCCTTCTGTAGGCATGTGAAACGTGGACCCCTCTAAATGGAACATCTGCGCCAGTTAGAAACATTCAGGCTGTCATGCCTACATTCAGATTGAGGGAATCCAAGTAGAAGCACATTCTCTATTTATTGCAGAGGTTCAAGGTTCAAATCCGACAGGCACGTCTGGCTACTCCAGTAACATTTAACAAAATATGCACCGTCTGCTTAACAGTGGATGTAAAACATACGCTTGTGTCATTCAAAACGCATAGGTCATTGCATGTTGGTGTCATGGTCAATAATTGGGCAATTTCAAACATGATCCAGAAATTTCATAATGAAGATTACACATCAATCATCACCCCCTGCTGACAGACTCATGCCCACATGCAGGTGACAGCAGTGTCACCTTATGACACAGAGGCAGCTGCCACTTGAAGGTGCTCTTCGAGTGTTTGTGATGAGATATGAAACTGAGTTGCTGAGGCAATTAAGCAAGCACCATATCAATGCAAATATAATAGTGTAATACTTGGAAGCTTATTGGCTCTTGCTCCTGATTCTTCATCTACCCAACCCACAGGTCAACAAATACTCGCCGCTCTTACTCTGCAGGTTGAACCCAGGAATTCAGTGTTCAAATTCACGTTCTTTTCATTAAAGGCCTGTGACAAAGGTGCATCTATTGGAGCTTCATTGTCTCAAGCCTACCCATCTACCGGGTTCTATTTGACTTTGTATTGTCTAAGAAGTCCACCCACACCTCCACTTCCACAAACTGCTGGGAGTTGCCTAGCTCTGCCTCGCAGTCAGAATTCTCCTCCTGCTTCACGTTGCCTCCATCGATGTAAAGGTACGATTTTTGAGTTGAATCTTCATCTTCCCAGTTTGCCATCACTTCTTCGCTCTTCACCATCACTTTCTCACATTTCACCTTCACCTCTTCGCTCTTCATCCTTTCTTCACATTTCACCTTCGCCTCTTCACATTTCACCTTGATACCTTTAAAAGTGTCCAAGCTGGGATTCACTTCTGGTTTCATGAGGGATGGGCTCACTGCAGCACTTTGACTTTCACAAGCCGATTTCAGACTCCATTTCTTGGGGATCGTCTGATGCTTGTGTGTCCTCTGGTGATGTTTAAGAATTGATGACTGTGCAAACGCCTTCCCACACAGAGTGCAACTGAAGGGTTTCTCTCCCGTGTGTGTTCTCTGGTGTGATTGAAGATGTGGTGATTGTGCAAATGCCATGTCACACACAGTGCACTTGAAGGGTTTATCTCCCGTGTGTGTTCTCTGGTGTAATTTAAGATGTTGTGAATTTGCAAACGCCTTCACACACAGAGGGCAACTGAAGGGTTTCTCTCTTGTGTGTGTTCTCTGGTGTCTATGAAGACATGAGGACCGTGCAAATTCCTTGTCACACACAGTGCACTTGAAGGGTTTCTCTCCCGTGTGTGTTCTCTGGTGTAATTTAAGATGTTGTGAATTTGCAAACGCCTTCCCACACAGAGTGCAACTGAAGGGTTTCTCTCCCGTGTGTGTTCTCTGATGAAATACAAGAGAAGATGACCGTGAAAACACCTTCGCGCACAAACTGCACTTGAAGGGTTTTTTTCCTGTGTGTGTTCTCCGGTGTGTTTTAAGAGCAGATGAATTTGAAAATGCCTTCCCACACACACTGCACTTGAAGGGTTTCTCTCCTGTGTGAGTTCTCTGGTGCTGTATCAGATGTCCAACATGATCCGTGCTGTATGCACACTGGTTGCATTGTTGCCTTTTTGTACCGAGTTGCGCTGAGTGCCTTTGCTCCATCAAACCAATTCTGCAGAGGAAGTGTCAGAGGAACCGTCAGCTGCAGACAGAAAAAAATTATATGCAGACCATCTACGTCAATATCGAGGCACAAAAGAATGCATATATACACAGTCACACATGACTTGCACGTCTATACTCATTCATATATTCATGATAAGAGTGAAAAAGATTCCCAAATTCATTACATGGGCACACAATGAGAGGGCAAATGGTCAGCCTGGAAGCCCTAGTATCTTGAAAATGAATGTTAACCTAAAACTCCAAGCACACAATTTCGGTTGTCTGGCTACAAAAGGAATATTTATAAAAGCAAAATGCAGCTAACGTAGCAAAGGGTGTTGAAAATAATACTATTTGTATTATGCATGAATTAATGTTCAATCACAACTTAAAGGTGTTAAGCCAGGCTCAGATTTCCTTGAATGCTGGGATGAACAGATCTAATTTCAGCTGCATATGTGCTGTGTTAATTTCCTGTTTCCATTCTCGTAAAAAGTTCCAAAGGAAAACTAAAATAAACTATTGTTTTGATTTAACCTCTGTGTTCAATCGAGTTAATATACTTTACAACAAATACAAACTTGACACTGTAACACACACTGGCATGGTAAAAAGGTGGTGTGTTCAGAACCATGCCTGGCCACCTTCATATGCTCCGTCATAATGCTTCCCCACAATAAGTGAAGTTTTCACCAATCAATCCCGTTTGCTGTCGGCGATAATCAAACTTTAATTGTGATAACACTATGTAACACAATTTTTGTTCCTTGGTACTAAGTGTCATTTTTTTATTGCTTATGCCAAAAAGTCTAGAAAATGGCTTATTCCCCACAAACATTGCTTTTGTGACCAGAATTATACAAGAACTAAAAAAACTAATTCACCTGTTTTCTCATTGAAAAGAGATACATTTCTAAATATCACTGTCCTGGTCACAAAAGCAAAGTTTGTGGGGAATAATATCCATTTTTTGTACTTTAGAGGCAAAAACAATTAGGAAATAACACATACTACCCAGGAACAAACCACCTTTTTTTGTTACACAGTGGAATAACTGCGCCACCGCTTCCCACATAGATAAACTCTTACATACACATATATTTCACATGAATGCCATGTAAGTGTGGATCACTTGTCAGCAGGTCATGGGAATGATCCAGGTGTCAAGGGATGACTGACTGAGATGATTAACAGATGCACCAGCTGTGCTTCCTGCTGTCTTGCTGCATTTGAGGTACCCAGCGTTCCACCCATTCATGTGATCGTTGCCACCCCTAATCTCATTGTTGTTGCAGAGCAAATACCTCTAACTGCCCTGCAGCATACGTCACGGGCCTCTTCCAGAGGCAGGTCTGATCAACTCCACATCCTCCAATCTCTTCTCTAGCCAAAGCCATGCCCGTTTAGCCCATAACATCTGGACTAACAGAAGATGATTGTGCATGCTGTCTGTTTATGCGGAATTCATGACCCAACCAATGCAGCCTCGCCTGCCAAAGTCTCAGATTATATTCTGTACTGATATTTTAGGCTCTGTAAGGTTATAATATAATCTTGTTTGGTTCAATAGAGGGGATCATAGGGAGGCCAGCCTTAATAAAAAGCAAGAACATACAGTCCTTAAAATAAGTTAATATTTTGCATCCACAAAGAAAGGAGTAATATCTGTGGCCAAGAAGACTCACAGCTTTATTCATTTATTTCTAAATCCTCTTGTCTTGGTGAGGTTTGTGGTGGCAGCACATTCAGTAGGGCAGTCCAGACTTCCCTTTCCCTGGCGACAGACTCTGGATCTTCCTGGGGAATTCCCAGGCATTCCCAAATCAGCCAAGCGACATATTCCCACCAGCAAGTCCTGGCCCGGGCCCCGGGGACTTCCCTCAGTGGGACGTGCCCGATAGAGTTCCAGGGGCAGTCTATTGGGGGGCCTCGTTACAGATATTGTATATTGATATCACTCGTGGAATGAGGCCTGGTGGCTCGGTGACCCACGTAACCCATTTGGACCCAGCCTGGAATGGCTGCGTGGCACCGTCCTGTGCGCCCACCATCCACAGTACGAAGAGTGAGAGGCGGGTGCGATGCCAGTATGGCAGGGAGAGGGATGGTCTCAGACAGACTAGACCTTGGTGATGGACACTCACAGCTTTATATGGCGCAAAAGTCCAGGCAGCTTCCACACAGTGTTACACAGTCTAATGAAAGAATGCTGCTAGACAAATTTAAAGTGAGACTTTGGCTGCCAAACCAGAGCTGGTCGTGAACACATTAACCAGGTATGGGAGCTCCTCCATTACTTGCAGAACTGCCTGATTACTCATGGAGAGTTGAGCAGGTACAGTGTTGTATGACATGAAATTCCCCGGCAGGTGATTTATTTTGGTGGAACATACGCAAGGCCACCTTTCATGATGGAATTATCCAGGCACAGAACGAGATCATCTAACCCCATCTCCTTGAGTAGCCATTTCCAGATCATCAGCAGATATAACATGGTTGACCAGGGAACGATCCCTTAACTATAACCAGGCATCGATGCACGTATCATTTTAACTGTAACGAATGCAATTATTTATATGGCTATTGTGAGCTTCTCAAACTACATAATTAATGAAGATGCTATGTAATGTAATGCATGGGGGCAGAGTGAATTTCTGTCACAAGCCAAATTGAACAGCAAATGGCTCCAATTCCTGGTCACGCAGCTTTAGACGGGCTTGCCCAAAATCATAAAAATTGTCAATGAATGTGAGCAGAGGCAGAGACATAAAAAACAAAGAACAACCCAAAGCCCCAAGCCTCGATATGGTACGATAGACCTTAATTACATAAAAAAGCAGAGACATTACTCTTAATGTTTGATTACTGAGACCTGAGCTAAGCCGGGTAACTTAGTCATTGCTGGATAAATACTATACTTCCGATTAAGTTTGTGAGTGAGTGGGGAGCGGTAGTGCAACGGTTAGCGTGCTGCGCTATGAACCCAGCGAGCCGATTTCTATTCCCGCAGAGCCAAGCAACAACATGTGGCTGTCGTCTGATGAAACTGGTTGGAATTAGTGTCAAAACGTTGTACTCAGATTGTAAATGTTGTGGCTTGGCTCTTCAACACACCGATGTGCTGTACTAGTACACTACACTATACACAACTATACACTACACTATACACTACACTATACACAACTATACACTACACTATACACAACTATACACTACACTATACACAACTATACACTACACTATACACTACTATACACTACACTATGCACTACAAATTAGTGCTGTACTAGTGACGCATTGGCCACGTTCTGTTTACATGACAAACCTCTTACTAAATGGCTGTGTCGGGTGGTGGCGGGGTTAACGGCACATTTATTTACGCGATCAATCCCAAACAAACCTGTATTATGGCTGTATATTTGGAGTTTGCGTGTCCCTCTCTCTCCGTGGTCGCGTGGATTTTCCTCCGGATCCTGCGGTTTTCCCTGCACATTTAGAGTCAACATCACCACGCGTTTAGAGTATTTGACCGATAAACATTTCCACAAGTTGATAAGCCCACTGCGTTGTGGGCAGGTCGCTTCTGAAAACGAGCGGTGTAGCTCAAATGGGCTATGCCTGGTAAAATAAAAAAAAACGTACAAATATTTAAAGTAAAACAAAGTTTCAAAGTAGTGAGCCAGGTGAAGACAAATTAAACTTAAGCAGAGAATTAAAGCAAATGCAATCAGAAGAGGGCAGGAGGCAAGGCCCCGCATGGCTAGGCGCCGCGTTGTAATGTTCCAACCTGGACATCGATTCCATACTCGCTGCTACTCAATTGATATCCCTACGATAAAGAAGGAGCGAGGCTCTGTCTGGGTTCACAACAACAACAACCACAACAACGACCACCACGATGTAAACTTCTCACCTCGGATCTCAGTGAGCGAGCGTACGCGAAGCAGAAGCGACCTGGTAACTCGTGACGTCATGCGGCAGCAGGTGACATGACGTCACTTGCGGGTTCAATCCCCTCCCCCAACGAGCAGCAGGGTAACTGAATATATTATAGCAATAGGTTTTTACCCTTTTAAACTGGTACAAAACTGACACCTTTATACAAGGCATCATGTTTGCAATAACCACAACACAAGTAGTCAAAAATGCAAACAAAAAGAAGCAACTATGATAATGATAATATGCACTGTCCTTGGAGTTGATTGGTCCACACCCGAGACGGCTTTCCCTGATACTGCACTGTTTGAGTAGTACGCCTTCTGGTGTCATCTGGTTCTATGGCTCCCTCTCTTGAACAGAGACCCATTGGGTGCGTGAGCTCAACAATAACGTGAACATTGTGTGTGGACACTGTTTGTTGGTGCAGTCGGGGGCACAGGTGGTCCATTGGCCAGTCATCTAAGTCAGTCGACCCATGACACCTGGATGTGCCCCGTGCACATAGCCTGGCACAAGCGCCGTGGTGACGTCACCGCCACTTAGTGGCGAATGGCGGTTGTTGTTATTGTGTGTATACACTGTGCGTGTACAGACTGTTTGTATACTGTGTGGGTAAACTGTGTGTACGCTGTGTATATGGTGTGTGTAGATATTGTGGGAACACTGCGTGTGTACACTGTGTGTGGGTGGTCCGAATCAGTCGGGCGGCATTATCTTTTCATCGGCTGCGCTATGCTGTGTGGAAGCTACCTGGTCTGTCGCTCCGCATGAAGCTTCGGTTCTTCTCGGCCAGTTTTGCCCTCCCTTCTGTAGGCATGTGAAACGTGGACCCCTCTAAATGGAACATCTGCGCCAGTTAGAAACATTCAGGCTGTCATGCCTACACTCAGATTGAGGGAATCCAAGAAGAAGCACATTCTCTATTTATTGCAGAGGTTCAAGGTTCAAATCCGACAGACATGTCTGGCTACTCCAGTAACATTAAACAAAATATGCACCGTCTGCTTAACAGTGGATGTAAAACATACTATCGTGTCATTCAAAACGCATAGGTCATTGCATGTTGGTGTCATGGTCAATATTTGGGCAATTCCAAACATTATCCAGAAATTACATAACGGAGATTAAACATCAATCATCACCCCCGACTGACAGACTCATGCCCCATGCAGGCGACAGCAGGGTCACCTTATGACACAGAGGCAGCTGCCACTTTAAGCTGCTCTTCGAGTGTCTGTGATGAGATATGAAACAACTGAGTTGCTAAGCCAATTAAGCAAGCAGCAAATCAATGCAAATATAAATATAACAGTGGAATACTTGGGAGCTTATTGGCTCTTGCTCCTGATTATTCATCTACCCAACCCACAGGTCCACAAATACTCGCCAC